TAGTAGTAGTAGTAGTAGTAGTAGTAGTAGTAGTAGTAGTAGTAGTAGTAGTAGTAGTAGTAGTAGTAGTAGTAGTAGTAGTAGTAGTAGTAGTAGTAGTAGTAGTAGTAGTAGTAGTAGTAGTAGTAGTAGTAGTAGTAGTAGTAGTAATAGTAGGATTATTAGTAGTATTCGCCGTATCAGTGGTGGTAGACGGGGGAAAAAGTTTTCTTCAGTATTGCCGCACTGTATTCCCGCCAGTGGTTGTAGTATTAGTAGTAACAGCGGTAGTAGTGGTAGTAGTAGCAGTAGTGGTGGTAGTAGCAGCAGTAGTAGCAGTAGTAGTAGTAGCAGTAGTAGCAGCAGTAGCAGCAGTAGTAGCAGTAGTAGTAGTAGTAGCAGTTGTAGTAGCAGTTGTAGCAGTAGTAGTAGCAGTAGTAGCAGTAGTAGTAGCAGTAGTAGTATTAGTAGCAGTAGTAGTAGTAGCAGTAGTAGTAGTAGTAGTAGCAGCAGCAGTAGCGGTAGTTGCAGTAGCAGTAGCAGTAGTAGTAGTAGTCCGCCCGTAAGACAGGCTGGTGGGGGAATAGACAATTCTAAGTGTTGCGACACTGTATTCCCGCCGTTTTGTTTGTTGGCCTGGTTGTCTTTAAGCATGCTCTCTGGTGAGCAACCACCGCCTGTTGAACTTACTTCCTTTGCACTATATATTGCCACTCACTAGAAGCTGCCATGCCTGTTCCTTAATGCTGCTCGGTCACTTCGGGGATCTTAGACCAGCACTTGAGTCGTCTCGCCCGCAGCTGTTCTCATGATTGCTAAAGACTTACGAAATACAGGACCTCTATGGGTCATCCAATCCATCAGGACAATCACTTGCACTGTTTGGAACCTTTGGCTGCAGCTCTTGAGTCATGGTGCCACTGGTGTGGTGTTCAAGAGTTTTGATTCCTAGACCAGAAAAATATCAGTTGCAGAGTATATATTCCCACGAGCGTTGGGTACTTAACAGCCGCCATCTGATCCCCCTCTCCCTTTCGGGGATAAATAGCCGATGCGGTGCACAAACAGTCCACACTGCCTACGATAGCACAGCGAGAGCATCTCAGATCATTCAGAAAAGACGACTGAGACGATTTTGGCTCGTTCTTTTCTGTCCATCTCGTTGACTCAATATTAGTCCGGCGTCGTTGCCCATCCAGAGGCGTCCAAGAAGAGGTTAACTTAAAACTTGGCTCGACATAGTTCACCAAGACGTGGAAGTGACGCTTGACCTTCCGTACTTGAAGGACAGAATAAGCCAAGCTCCTCAGATCCGCTGCCGCAGGTTGTCACCCGTGGAGAGATATAATTCGTGACGTCGTTAAGGTCGGCTTATTCAGCCATGATTAGAGTTGTAATAAGCACAAGCACTGAACATCATGCAGAGGCCGTGGTGGTACCTAGCGCTATGCGGTTCTAAGCCTGATGGAGGGTTTTCGGAGTTCAAACTGCATGTTACCTGACACTGAGGGATGCCATCACGTTTGTAGCGTCAAAGTTGCCCCCATTTTGGCGTCCAGACTCTTCTTGCTTTGCCAATAGAAGCGAAGAGACGAGTCCCAGGAAGTAGTCTTGAAGAAGGAGACACGATCGCCGAGACAAGAGCTTTATTAGCCTGGCGTTTCGGATTCCTACTCGAATCCATCGTCAGAGACAAAAAAGCAGAAACGGGTGGTTGTTGCACAAGGGGCTGCGGTATTTATAGAATGCAGTAGCCATGCTACCGCATACCTATGGACATTCACGGCTCCCCCTTCATCCGAGATCGTCTCACTTGGTGTGATCATTGCTTGATGGCCGACATTCGAGTCGATAATTACTGCAATTTCATCACGTGCGTTGGATGTTGGCGTGATGATTGCTCGACCATCTGACGCACCCACCCCGGTGTTGGGAAAAGTGTCCACCTCTGCGCTCCCCGCATGGCTTGTTACTCCGCCTAGGCGAAGTTTCAGCACGGAGTACGGAGTGGGAAGATCGTTGCACTTGTTGATGGACTGGGTGCCAGTAAACCATGATTCCAGTAGCTCCCGGCTCACGCGATTGTCACCCCTTGCGAGAATTTCGGCCTCATCGAATTTGAATGTGTGACCGGATCTCGTCGAATGAGCCGCAACTTGAGAGCCGGCGTCATTTTTGCGCACCGCTGCCTCGTGTTCGGCCATTCTCGTTCGGAGCTGTCTTCCGGTTTCTCCGACGTAGTTGCTTTGTCCGAAACTGCACCAGATCCGATAAACGACTCCAGACGTTTCTAGCCGTGGCAGTGGATCTTTCGGTTTCATGACCAGACGCCTGATGGTTGCCTCCGGTCTGTGTGCCACTCCAACCCCAAGTGGTGCGAGAAGGCGGCCGACAGCTTCCGAAACGTTCTTGACATACGTAAGTGCCTGCCAAGATTTGGTGTCCGTGCGGTTAGGCCTTTCGTCCGTTTTGCGTATGCACCGGTCGACGAATTTGCGCGGGTAGCCATTGGCTCTGAAGACCCGTCGGAGGTATTGTAGTTCGGCAATTTCGTCTTCCTCAGATCCGCTGCCGCAAGTCGTCACCCGTGGAGAGATATAATTTGTGACATCGTTGAGGTCGGTTTATTCATCCATGATTAGAGTTGTAATAAGCACAAGCACTGAAAATCCACACCTACACTAACACTCGATCGGGGGGGACATCTGTCTCCGGGGCCCTGGTGGTGCCCATCGTCTTGCGGTTCCAAGCCTGATGGAGGGTTTTCGGAGTTCAACCTACATGTTAACTGACACTGAGGGATGCGATCACGTTTGTAGCATCTAAGTTGCCCCATTTTTGGCGTCCAGACTCTTCTTGCTTTGTCAATACCATCTCTCAATCATTGATTACTCGTGGTTATGTTGCCTCCTGCGAGAACTAGGAACGAAGAACCATGGTAGGACTGGGTACCCCGTGTCCTGTTTTGCAGTCAGGATCGATTGATGTACGCCACTTCCGCTTGTTTCCGAGAATGTCGACAGTCCAGGAAAAGTGCTTCTTCTTGCCTCGTCTACGCTGACCCGCTGGTTCCCCTGGGCGCTTAAGTGAGCCTGTCGAAATGACATCTTACCTGAATGAAGAGAAAAACCAAGTGCTGAGCCTCGGCGACCACCGTTCCGCAAAAGATCTTTGCTGTCACCACTTTTCTGCGCTTCCAGAATGCGCGCGACGCCAAGAGGAAGCCCAACCGAGCCGAGCTCACTGACCAACCGGTTCATGCTATGGTCCGTCCTATCCGTCGCCAATTACTGTCTGTGTGCATTCTGAACGTCGCTGTGGTCTTCGAGTCTGTGGTCGTGCAAGCTTTCCGTGTTTCATATCTGCCTCTCAACGGCAGTTGATGACGCGTGTGACGAGGATACGTCTCGTCTTCCCTCATGTTTAGCCCCGAAGCAGTTCTGCATGGTGCTAGCGGTGCTTGATTTGCGTTTGAATGCTAACGTGTCGACTGGACTAAGCACAGCCCAGTAGTGACATGGGAAACCGTTTTGTTTTAGTGCTCCAAAAATACGATCTGTAAAAAACCGAGACAGAACTTTCACGAACAATTTATCACCAAGATGCATTCTCATCCCTTAAGCAAAGATCTGCCTGGTAGGGGGCGCTCACCGACCGTCCTTACGGAACTCACTCGTTCCGCTGTGCCTTACGGACTCTCTCTCTCTCCAGCCCAACCATCAGCCGCACAGCGCCGACAGAACAACGGGCTCGTGGCCCAGTGGTTAGAGGAGTGGACTTCTAGCTAACAGGTCGCGAGTTTGAGCCTCAGGTGTTCCACACTTCGGGGTTGGGTATGACTGGCTAGCGACGGCTATAAGCCAGAAATGGCCATTCCAGTCTCCCTTGTCTTTGTCGGTAATAACATACTACCTACAGACCGGTCTATTTACAGCATCCCTTTCCTAGTACCAAACCACAGGCCATCGTCTCGAATGGATAAGCTGGCCACATCCATTGCTTTGTCTGCCATCGCTGTAGAAGACAAGGCATTCTCGGATTATTTCCCTGACCAGCAGAAGGCAGCCCTCTTGATTACCGAAAAGGTGTACAATTGCAAATATCACGGGCTAGCTAAACAATGTGATTAACCCCGTCGCCGGAATATATGTTCCTGTCTGGTTCTTTGTTGGCTTTCCGGTCTGCCTTTGAACCCGTTGCGACGCTTTTAGGGCCTGCGTCCTAATCATGTGCATGTTGAGCTCTCTGCGTAGAAAGTGCAAAGAATGCGGAGTTTACCGACAATGGTGGCTCGAGCGGGGTCTTTCTCAAGCAGGACGATTCGCCATCACTTCAGTGATAACTGCGACCATTTGGACAGATTGTCCATCACCTGTTTTAAGCTCGGCTTCGCTCTCCCTCCCTGAGAACAGTGAATATCATCACGGTTCATAGCATGACTCAAGCCAGATAGGTCCGTGTGGAAGCTCTCGCTTCGTCCCACTTCTTTTAGTAAGTAGAGACTTCGCGTATGCATGGTTTGTTTGTGTGGTTCAAATTCGGTCTGTTAATTTCGAATAACTCGACGCATCCCACAGCAGAGTTTGTGGACCCAGCCATCGCCTCTGCTGGGTTTTTATCTCTAAGGTGTCTTCGACAGCCAAACCTTAACCTGAAAGCATGGCACTTTTACACGTAATTGTTTTCGTTACGATCCTCTGGCTGTTCGCCCAAAGACACTTATCAGTCGTCAATTGCGAACTCTACCAGCTGTTTGTGACTAGTCAATCGGGCGAAGTAAAAAAAAACTGCCTTAAGATCATTCTCCAGAGCACAACTGTGTACATTGGTCGTTCAAATATAGCCGCCACCTCAAGCACCGCCGCTTCTCTCCTTCAAGGACACCGCCCGCCTAACTAGAGACATTCCTTCCTGACCGGTATTTCGTGACGGCCGTTAAATGGGTTCTGGACGTCTTCCAACGCGGGTCCGACTAAACGATCTTACCGGCCTGAATCCAAAAATGCCAAGGAATGGCCATTTGTGACATGTTGACCGCCATCATGCCCAACCTCAGGTTTCGGGGAGAGCTGAGATTCGAACCTCCCCCCCCCCCTCGTTTCTTCGTCCGTCAAGTGTTCATCGAGTCCAATGCTCTACCAATCGAGCCACGGGTCCTTCGTTCCGTCGATTGCCATCCGGAATATCGACTACCAATCAGTTTGCCGGCCATGCTCATCCAGTTGGTATGGTTGACTGATGACGGCCAATGAGCTATAAATGGCCGCCCCGTTTTCCTCTGTGTTTGGCTGCGGCTTTAGATTGAGCCACAGGGTGCATGATGAGCCCTCAACAGTTTCGTCATCTTGATTGGCGTTCTCGGTTTCAGTTTCGGTTTATTAAGGGAAATATAGGCGAGCGCCTTTGAACTCCCTACTGGTTACAAGTCGTCGGAGAAAAACATTGATAGTGGGAAGGCGAAAAAAGGGGTTTTGTACATAATCGTGGGCAGTAGTACGAAACGAGTAATAACTAACGGTTACTAACTAGTTACAAGCAGTATAAACAACTTTAAGTTGGTGCCAGGTTATGTGAGTGGATGTAAGTCTGGTAACTGGGAGGCTTGATGCGCGTCAAGTCTAAACTTAAAGGACTTCACACAGGAGGAGGTTGCAACATCGGATGCTTGGTGGTAAATCCCACGTGTATGGAGGTGTTGCTGTTTATCTTTCCCGTCACTGTTGTTCTTCTTGCAAGAGCCCAGATGGACGGCGACCTTGCCTTTCAGCAGTACCCTCAAACTCCAGTCCGTCTTGTTGTCTTTTTAGCTCTTAAGGAGGGTTTGCGGCACTGGCTAGACGTCTTGGAGAGGCGACGGCGTCAGCGTGACCTCAGCGAAGCCATGGGCCAATCAGAGGATCAGATTCGAGTTGCGCTCACGGAGTCGCTCCCCTCAACTTACTGATTGACTCGCTCAGCACGCGACACCTGTGGATTGTGCCTTTCTATTGCTCCAATTGTAAATATATCGCCCCCCTCCCTTTCCCATTCCTCCGTCGTATGGCTTTGCTAGTGTCAGCTTACTTTTTTTCTACCCAACTGGCCTCGACTGTGTCCCTTCATTTTTCGAACAAGTCAAAGGCGACGAAACATGCAGAATTTGATGACGTCCTGAAATTTCGGGAACTCTTGCTCGTCACTGCGTATTAATAAGATAAATTGTCCAATTGGAGAGCGACCTGGGAGGTTAAAAACGTGATAGGCAAATAAAGTAAGGACCACTGATCTGATATGTGGGTGGAAATAGCGACGGCGAAGTGTGGCTAGCCATCTAAACAAGCGAGTTCTTATTACAGTGAAAACATGTCCAGAGTGATTAGAGCTACAAAGTCCAGGGTAGGAGTCAGTCTTACTGGAGGAGAGGGGACGGGAGAGAGAGAATAGGTCAACGTCCATTATCGACTCATACCACGTCAGTGCGAGGTTTATCCCTTGTTCCGGGATTCTGGTCTTCTTCCCCGTATTGTCGCGGCTTATGCCAAGCCCAGGAGATCCCCATTCGCCGCCCGAAGGAGGACCTTAGATGCGGTAACTGAATCCACCACATGGCCAGTGTTCACTAGGTGCTTCGTAATCCAACTCCTGGGTACCTTCCGCCCCTAGTAGCCATTTCGGCATGCGTTCGGATGACTGATTTGCCAACTGCCTTCGCGTGCGTTTAATGTACATGCATACGCAACTACATGTGAATTCATAAATACAGTTTGATGTCGATAGAAGCGAAGATGCGAGTTCCAGTAACTAGTTGATAACCCGTTTCTTCCAGTCTCTGATGACGGGTTCAAGTGGGAGTCCGGAACGTCAGACGAATAAAGGCCTTGTTCAAGCGATCGCCTCTTATCAATAGTTTGAGGTGGCGAGCGTAAGCAGACTGTCCTTAGTTGACATAACTGAAGTAGCCGTTGTAGAGCCTATGAACAACGAGCTGGAGGTGGTGTACGTCCGCTCACTCATGCATCGAAGTCGCCGCTTGACCAAGTTTGACACATTATCGTCGTCGAAAGAGAGGCGGATGCTCATCGGCTTTTGCAGCACGGGTATTTCTACAGGGCTTTCCTGTCTGAGATGGCGATACTTATCCGGTCTCCAGATGACGACATCAGTAGCCTTATGTAGGTCATTTAAAGCCGAGGGGTGTTGTTTAGTTAATAGTGAGCGTTGAATGACCGGGGATATTCTATGCCGATAGGCGATATCTACGGATACCGCTTTTAACCATCTCACATTTTCTTCTGTCGTTGACAAGGGTGATATAGGTATTTAAATTGAGCTTTAATCTCCATCGGATCTATTTTTCCTATTACTACACAAAGAGAGGACTTCGACCGAAGTCTCTCTCATAGGACTTAAATTTTGTATACCAAAAAATAAATCAAGAAGGAAGGCAGGTTTTTAATTGTCTTATCTTTTCATGGTGAAGCCCATCTTCGCAACGAATATTCTTTGGTCTGCGGAGCCGTAGGCATTCGATTAAACTCGTCCAATTCCATGCATGTCGCATTTTCCACTGCTTAAGGCTGGGGTCCTCCAAGATACTTGCGGTTAAAAACGCTTCTCCACCTGGGATGCCGCACTGGTAGGCTGGGCCTTCGTCAGTGTTCTCTCCGACCACCCGCCAAGTCAGGAGCTGAATTCCGCAATTTGCATGTCTTATGCGCTTTTTCGCAGTATCGCTTTTCGTCTTCCGTGCGTTTCGTGATTGAAAGTTCCTCATGTCAGCATATCCACAGGCTTGAATAATTCATATTTTTTTTGAGCGGTGTCTACGCCCTGTAGGTTTCCGCGTCCCTGATCAGTTTAGCTTATATAAATAGGTTACTGGGCTGATTTCAGTAACGTGTTTTAAAAGGTTAAACATCGGCTTTCGATTACAGAGATACCGTACCGCAACTGCAGTCTGCCGCCTGGAATTAGAACCCTAGTCGGTTGCTCAACGAGCACTTTTAAGGAAACACTTCCGCTCTGGCCTACGTCTTGCCGGTCGCCATTGGGAACATCCGATGTGATGTGCGTCCGCCTCCAGCATCCTTGCAAAGCTTGTCGCGCACACATATTTATGCTGGTACTGCCGCCGCAACCACGTGACTCCTAATTATCATCCGTCTTCCGTTGCGAGTGACGTAAACCACCGCTCTCCTGATGACACAGGTGAGATTTGTGTAGCGTCTCTCGCACTCCTTGCTATGCTGGCAGAATAAGGTCAGGACGACTGGTGATTTGTGTAACCGCAATGACTGAGTCGGTCGATTAGATTGCTGATTCGTAAGAATATCGCAGGGATTAGTGCGCAGCCTGCGTGAAGGTCTATTGTGCTCGAGCACTCAGCTGCTGCGAGTTGCTCCTAGCGCGTCCTTCCGCTACCAAAATAGCGCAGTAAGGTGCGTGTGATCTGAAGCCTGGACAACTGGTTTTGATGTGATTTTTGGCCAAGTCGTCTTCACTATTCGTAGTCGGGAGAAAGGGTTTGTGGGTCGTCTAGACACCCACCGAGCGAGATTTGCGCCTAGGGGGACATGCAGCGGACCAGATTCGGACTTGAACGATGAAATCTGTGACCCATGAGGGCATAAGTAAGGGCGAAAAATATGCCATCTGGCTGAGAATCGAGCGGCATTTTTCAGCACCGATGAAAACTAGTGGCTGTCTGATGAATCCTACGAGAAAAACGGGACACCGGATAAGGCTGATGGAAGAATCTCCTTTAAAAGATCTTGGTGGTGGGCATTTACCGACCTATCAACCAGCGGTGAGAATTCTTTTCTTGGGATTGAACCCGGGGAAAAGAGAGGGGAGAACAGGTAGGAGATTGTCCCTGTTGATTTCCATTACCTTCGGGCTCGCTGATCGTAGGTCTCTTGTCATCAAAAACACGGTTACCACGGAGCACCCCTGACAGCGTTGGTTCAGAGTGGCCTCGTAAAGAAGTTGCTTTCCGTAGTGCCTGTAATCCAAGGTTGATATTTTGTCCAACCCACCAGCAGACTAGATTAAGTTCGGCACGACGCCTATCGGCATAAAATATCCCCGGTCATTCAACGCTCACTATTAACTAAACAACACCTCTCGGCTTTAAATGACCTACATAAGGCTACTGATGTCGTCATCTCGCGACCTGACGGTATTTGGCGGAACTATGTTTTGATGTCACTTCCGCTTATGATCTGACGCCCGAAGGTACCTCTGTTGTATCACCCACAACTGCCGTTGATGTTCTGTCCGTCTTTAGCGAATTAAGACGATCGATAATGCGTTTTCAGGTTAAGCGAAAGTCGAGATAAGCCAAGCAGGACTGCTGTAGTGTCCGGCGAAGTCAATAGTAGCCCACACGGTTGAGTGGGTGACTTGGAATAGCCCTTCAAACAATTAGCGCACCAACGGGCAACAATCTTTGATGAAGGGGAGCGCGGTCAATTGCCATAGGTATGGGGTAGCATAGCGACTGCATCCATTAATTACCGCAACTTCCTGTGCACGAGTCACCCTTTTCTGTCGCTGTCTCTGATGATGGGTTCAAGTGAGAAATCGAAACGTCAGGCGAATAAAGCCCTTGTTCCAGCGATCGCTTCTTCTGATCAATAGCCCTTCTGTCAGTGGACGGAATCGGTAGACACTGCATTAGGCACTCGTACATGGATACGGTAACGAAGATGGTTTGAGATATATAGAAAGATAGGAATGTAGAAGAGTCGACGTGCCTGTTGGTCACTACCACATCAGTTGGCGGGCTAATCAGTCGTTTCTGTTTGTATGAGTAGCTCTCAGCCTCGCGGGCACATCGGTGAGGCGATGTCCAACGTTGGTCACGTGACATCTGTCCGCCGACCCCCCCCCCCGGCCTCCCGGTTCTGTGTGCTTGCCTAACCTATTGGCGCTGTCAGAACCCTGCTCGTGAAGCCTTGCAGGTGCAACCGCCCCAGTGCCGCGCGACTCCTTACCTTTGGGCAAGCTAACCTGTTGTTTGTGATTAAAGTTCAACTTACATTGTTGACCCCCAGAGGTTTATAGCTTAGTTGAAAGTGCCAGTTGAGAACCAGTCTAGCCATCTTCTCATTCTCTCGACCGATTAGCCTCGCTTTCTCAAAGGCGAAACTGTGGTTCAGCTCTTGTGTGTGTGGCGTTTGGTCGGCGCTCCAGGTGTATAACGTACAGTGCGTGACCTATCTCATGAAATGTTGGCTGAAATGTGGAAATGCGTTTTCGATTAGGAAGGATTACTTAATCGCGGTTGTGATACTGATTATCTTAAGGCATACTTCATAACATTTTGGACTCGACAGGATGTCGGCTTTTAAATGCACTTCTTTTCAATCTCCTGTAGAAAGCGTGCTCGGTAAAAAATGACTACTTAAGTAGCATGCATTTTTCCCATTGATTTTCGATGGTCTTGGAAATTCAAATATATTTTATAGAAACCACAAACGAAAACGTGCGTTCTTTTAGTCAATCAATAGAGAATCAAGTCTTCTTTATATTTTATACTTAAGGAAGGAGTATAATTAGGTTTTAAAAAAGTTTTCTAATTGTCGAATAATTTGGAGCCTGATCATTCGTTGCATTAGCGCTTAGTGATTACACTCTACAAGGTGCATGCGTTCCGCGTAAAGAAAATCCCATATTTTTCTATGTCATTAAAGAGATATTATACAGGGTCCATAAAATTTTGCAATGGATGCAGACCATGTTGTACATTTCATGAGGTGCAGTGGTAAACGTCCAGGTACGATGCTATGTGAATGGACATATCGCGGTCTTAAAAAGTCTCATAATTAGAAACTTTTTAAAACCTAGTTATACTCCTTCCTTAAGTATAAAATATAAAGACGTGATTCTCTATTGATTGACTAAAAGAAAGCATATTTTTGTTTATGGTTTCTATGAAATATATTTGAATTTGCAAGACCATCG